CCACCACCACAGAAGAGGGAACCGAGGCTCAGAGAAGCTTTGGGATATGTCCCACCCCCACCCCACCCAGCCTGTCCCTGGGGGGTCCGGAGCTGCTATATCATCCCTGCCCCAGCGTCTCAGGTCCCAGGGATCTTGCTGTCGCTGCTCCCCGAGGCGAACAGTCCGGAGTGTCCCCCAGAGGCGCTCAGGCCCTGACCCCGCCTGTGTGCTTTCCAGCTCCGAGCCCACGCCGTGGACATGAACGGCAACAAGGTGGAGAACCCCATCGACCTGTACATCTACGTCATCGACATGAACGACAACCGTCCCGAGTTCCTCAACCAGGTCTACAACGGCTCCGTGGACGAGGGCTCCAAGCCAGGTGAGCCCCAGGCAGCGGCCGGGAGGGGAGGGGCCAAGGGCCCATCGGATGAGCTCATCTGGCAGATGTTTACTGAGCACCACTCAGGCTACGCTGCATGGGGGCGGGGCCTCGCGGTCCAGACGGGGACAGACAAAAAATGAGCCAAACCGAGTGCATGGAGCCATCACAGCGATGAGGAGGCTCAGACAGGGACCCTGTAGGTCAGGGAGGGTCCCTCTTCGGAGCTGACATGTGGGCTGAGAGCTGGCGGGTGAGGAGGAGCAGGAGGCAGAGAAGGGCTGGGACCGTGCGGAGCTGGAGGGAGGCTGGGGAAGGAGAAGGCACGTGCTAAGGTCCTGGGGCAGCGTGAGGTCAGAGAGAAGCCCTGCCACTCGCAGTCTCGGGGACCACACTGTGGGTTTCACTCTAAACACCACAGGAAGCCGTGGGAGGCCAGACCTCCCCGCCCAGAGAGGTGAGCCGTGCCTGAGCCTCGGTCCCCTCGGCTCGGACCCGGAGCCCCTCATCCTGCAGATCCAACCCAGCATCAGTGATGACAATCACTCTGGCACGTACTCGCTCCGGCTAAGCCTGTGGCCTGTGTGGTCTCTGGATCCGTAACTACCAAGAAGGGGGCCCCGCCCCCCTTAGCACAGATGAGACTCAAGATTCAAGAGGGAAAATGAGCAGCCCAGAGGCGGTGCGGCTGTGGGTCACAACCCCAAGCCCAGGACCAGCGGAGCGTCGGGGGCAGGTC